TCCCAGCCCCATAGGCTGGGCCCCAGGGTGGGGGGAGAGAGTAAAGAAGAGCCGAAGGGCGGTGGTAAAGGAGGCTGGTTGGGCCCCCTTTGTAGGGGGGGTTGGTTGGTTGGAAGGGTGTTGCTTCCTCATCCCGTAGATTAGGGTTTTAGGGGGGCTGCGTGGAGGAAATGGGGCTTCTTGGGGAAGCCAGGGTTTAAAAGGGGGTTGCTAGTTGGGGGGGGGGGGCTGCCCACCCCACAAGTGACCATGGTGGCTTTTGTCGAGAAGGGGGGATTAACAGGGTTGGGGTCTGTGGGAAGTAGGCAGAATCTGGGGTGGGGAAGGCGAGCTGAGACTTTGGGCGGGATGTCAGAATTTACACTGGGGGTGCATTTGTGGCGAAGTGCATTTCTTTTCAGTAAGTTGGGCTTAGCAAGGCGAAATGGGAAGAGGAATAATGGGATCAGTGGTGAGAAGACTAGGGCTGTAAAGAAAGGTGGGAGGGGTTTTGAGCTTCTGACTTACTTGCTTATTTCTCTGAGTGCTTTATTTTTTTGTCTCTGCCCCCAAAAAAGCCCTGCTGAAGTTGAAGTGTTTAACCCAATCTTCCCTGTCTCTCCTTTTCTCTCCCCCACCCCACCCCACCCCCATGTAGGCCCCTTTGCAGCTGAAGCCGGATAGCAGAGCCTGCTTCCTTGCAGCAGGAGGCCACAGGGAGGAGAGAAAGAAAGAGCAAGGGAGCGCGAAGGAAGGATTGAGGCCGCCATGGCCCATTCTCCAGTTGCAGTGCAGGTGCCTGGCATGCAGGTATGAAAGGATTGCACACCTTGAGGAGGGAAACTGCTCTGTGGGGCACTGGGTCCAATTGGAGTGGCTTTTGCATCTCCTTTGCTTGGTGTGGACTGGAGTTAACAATTTTTATTAATTGGCATCCATGAAATAGTAGTGAAGTTGTGTATTTTCATCCTAAGGTGTCCATGTAGTGGCATTCACAAAGGCAGAAGTGATATGGCACAAACTGAGTTTTTGGCAAGGATGTTATTGAGGCCAATCGGGAGCTTCACAGATGAGGATATACCGATGTTTGAGAGAGAGATAACTGTTTTATTCAATCCATATTGTATACTGCAAAAGTGTACATACATAGCAGAATGGCTGAAGAGCACCTTTCATTGTTGAGAAGACTGTGGGTGTGAACAGAGACCTGTTACTTTCTTGTGGTGTTTTTTTTTTTCCTCTCACGCTTTGTAGTACACAATTTACGTAAAATGCCAGGGCAGACTTAATCAGCTACCCTGGGATGCAGAATAGCTGAGAAGTGGGCTTAAGTGCAAATCTGGCAGCAGAGACTGTGTTGACATGCAGGCAACAGTCTCTGCTGTCAAATTTAACACTTAAGCGCATTTGCACCAAGCACTGGTCAACCCTAGAATGTGTTAATACAGTTAGTAGTTGCTTATCCTGCAGTGACTGACCGCTTCTTGTCCTTTGACTCAAATTTTCCCACACTGCAGCAATGAAAGCTAGTTTTTGTTTTGTTTTGCTATTTAAAGGAGGTGCCATGATTGGTTGGGAACACTGGCATAGTTTGCAAGGTGCTGACAGTTTTCCAGAAAATAAAGTAGGATTTATTAGATTGATTCACTTTGTACAGCTTCTGAGCATGGAAACGTTCCTGTTATTAAAATGATGACCGGTTCTATCCTAACATTAAACTTCGGTCTCATCTCTAGACCAAGTCCCAGCTGAAGGGTTTGGAATCTGGGGAGCAAGGCCAGGCATGAAGTTCTAGACGTAGTGTCATCCTAAAAGGAACCTCATATTTCATCCAACCTGTAGTTCTTGGTCCTTGTAGAGAATTAAATAGAAAAATGCACTCTTTTTTTTTTTTTTTTTTTGGTCATTTTGCTGTCACAGACTGACACAAACTTGTGTCCTGGAACTAATTAGTATGCAGAGTGGTGGCTTGATATTTTCCCCTCTAGTGATTTTCTAATCTGTTTGAGAAGTGTGTAATAGCATTAAGCCCATCAAAAGGCCTTGTGTAAAAAAAAAGAGAGAGAGTGAGTGAGATAGCAATGGTCTTACAACTTGCTAAATACTTTTTATTACTATGGGTAGTAGTTAACATTTAAGTTGTTTCAGTAATCATTTTTATTTTGATTCTTTGGGGTTGTTTATCTTCCAAACCTAACATGACACCAAAGGTCAACCAAAGATTCCCCGTTCCTTCCATTTTTCTCTAATTCTTTCAGATCCATCAGGGAACTAGTCATCAAAAGTTAATTTTAACAATATCTTTAGGGGGTTTGGAAAACTTGGGATGCATCTCGTGCTCATAAATTCAGCATTTTTACAATGCAGATGATTCTTCATCTCTTCAGTAACTTGTTGCTTTTCAGACACAACAACATGAATTCAACGCTTCTGTACTGATGATGCTATCACCTGTTTAACATCTTGTTAGTTTTGTCAGGGTCCATTGAATCCAACTTGCTTTGCCTGTATTATTTTAACCTCTGAATGGTGGAAGTTCTGCTTTCCAGTGCACTTGCTATCACCTTTCTATGCTGTCAAAGACTGATGGGAGTCACAATTCCGTGACACTGGGGGGGGGGGTTTGCAAATGTAGATACCATCTCACTTTTGATTGGGGCTTTGAGGCTGCATTCCCATACCCAGTTAAATTCACTGAGGGTGATTTTAGTGTAGGCACATATACTGTATTGTGGTCTACATTTTATTTTAGAAAGCTGGGCGGTGAGTGATTCAGATATGTAAGCAATGTTTGAAAGAAGGATGTTATAGCAGAGCTGCATGGGGCTTTGAAAGCAATAGTGAGAAGGGAAAAATGCAAACATCACTTTGTTAGTTTGCACAGTGACAGGCTGTATTTTAATGTGAACCAGCAAATAAGTGAGAGGGTATGAATAAGGTGAAAGTGGCCAAAGTGCATCATCCGTTCCTTTTTTAATTCACCACAGAGGGGTTTTTTAATTGTTATTGTGCGTTTATGGCTTTGGAAATCTTTTATCTCAGCTCTCTCCATCCATTTTTACCAATCAGTTATCTTCCATGACCAAGAAAATTTCTGCAAGAACTTCCTCTGTGACAGTCTTGCCACTGACCTTTAGGACTCTGCATTCGGAAACAGAGTCTTCCAAGAACCATAAAATTGTTTTCTGGTGGTGATGACACAACTGTGGTTGTTAATGAATTTCCATTAATATTTAAGACTCTGTTGGAAGATTAAACACTTGCTTGGAATTCTATGCATAAAAACCCTTCCTTATACTAAGCCCTGCCTCTTGCACTTCTGTGATACCCCTTCCCCCCCCCAAATAGGTCACACTTTCTTTGGTTGTGTACTTCTCAATTTAAAAGTGGCCTCTGAATCTGTGCACTGCCCATCCTGACATTACCTGAACTTCTAATGCAGAGCCTGCTTTGCCCTGAGATGTCAAGGTCATAAATATGACACTGAAATGGGACCTCAAGAGTACTAATAATATTTTATGACACACCCATACTAGTTTAAAACTGTGTGGATTTGTCATAACATTTATTCCTCAAAGGGTTAATTCCATTGTGAACCAAATAATCATGACAATCACATCAAAGTATTCTTGAAGGCTTTCAAGACCACGATCTGATGGTTTTTACAGGTTTTTCGGGCTATTTGGCCATGTTCTGTTTGGCCAGTCTCTGTGGCCGGCGTCTTCAGAGGACAGGAGTTAGAACACAGACATAGATGCTGGCCACAGAGACTGGTGAAATGTTAAGAAGAAAAATCTCCGGAACATGGCCAAACAGCCCGAAAAACATATAGCAACAATCACATCAAAGTTCATCTGAGTGTTGAGATATAAATTGTACATATGCTCCAACCTGAAAAGGAATATAGAGAGGGGAAAAAAAACCCAAAAAATGAACCTAGAATCTTCTCAATTGCACATCAGTCTCCTGCATGACAGGCAAGTGAATACCTAACCACTATATGAATGCAGTAATCCCTTTTTCTTTTCTACATGACATTTGGTTCTTTCAGCAGTCACATTGGGTTTGTATGAGCTACTGACTTAGTAGTCTCTGGAATGAGTTTATTTCCAACAAAAAAGGCATTTGTGGCTCCCTTTTTAACAATTTGGGTGGGAGGGGGACCATTTCAAAAACTTAATGGCAGTCATATTGGGGGGAAATTCTGGTTTTGAGAGCTCATCTTTCCTGAAGCTGCTGCAATATGTAGCATCTCTGCCAACATAGTATAACTTTATAAGAGGTTGTAGAGGCTCACACCTGGGAGGAGCAGAGTAATGAGCTGGGGCACCTATTCACTTGTCCACAACAAACCTGACTTTCATGATTACCATCAGTGTTGTATCCTGAATGCAGACTTGGTGAGTTAATGCATACTTCTTGCTACCTCTTGCTTTGCACATATCTACATTGCAACATTCCTGTTAGTGGTAGTGAATAGCTGTGCCCCACCTTCTCAAGCAAGTGCAGTAAAGGCCAAGTTGTAGAAAATGCCTGTGTGGATTTTTTTTTTCTGAACTGAGAAGAGGGTTTTAGATACTGCGATTTGCAAGTCATCTGCATTCTCTCTGGGTGGAGTATTATGCTCAAGTGCTGTGAATGCTTGGACTTATGGAGCATGAATAGTGGCTATGCGTGAAAAGCTTTAAATGACACTGAAACTTAGTGATGCCAGTCTACTTTCCTGGAAGGAACATGAGGATGTTAGTTCATGTTGAAGCAAAGGCATTTTCTTTTTGTTGCTGCCTTCTGCCTCAACATTAAACATTTTATCTAAAAGGGGTTCAGTGGTCCTTTAGTCATATTTATATTTATTTCTATTCTTCACTTGTAGGCTCATTCACTCATGTTGAAACAAGTTGGCCTCTGGTGCTTTTCTACCTGTTAAGGTCAATTCTGGTTGCAGACCTTGAGTTTTCACATCATTTGGCTTTTTTCCTCCACTGCTTAGGATATAGGAGTACAAAAGAAGGAGGGGAGGAATGTATGGGATCAGAAATGCACCAGCCACATAGTCAAGGATGACAGGTTCTTAGAAACAGGAATTGTTGGGACTAGAAACATTATCTGGACTTTGTGAAACTGTAGTAAAAGCTATCCTGCATTTTTTTTCGCAGTTTACAAATGGCAGTGTTTATTTATATAAAATATTTTACCCTGCCTTTCTCTCCAAAAGGACCTGAGGCAGCTTATTGAATTTGTTTTTGTGTGGCACAGACTATTTACCTTTTACGTGTATTCTTCTCACTTCTGCTAGCTCTTGCCAACTAGTTTTCCAAACTCATGAGCTCTAGGGTTTTTTGTGTGTTTTAAAAAAATAATAATAACCCTGGACCCAAAACTAGCAAAGCAGCTTATAAAATTCCAATTAAAGTACAACATAGAATGTCAAGAAAGGATTAAACTCATTTGGAACAAATTCTGAAACGTCAGGTAATGCTTCTTCTCACTGCCACAATACTTTACTGCTTCCACCCTCTCTTCAAAAACTACTACTTTTAGACAGACTGTGAGTGAGTGTGATTTCTCAGACATAGCAGACAGTATGTTCCTAACAAAGATGCAGTCTAGCATAAATATTTTCCTTGTATCAAATTTTAAACTGCGAGTTCCTCCCAGTCTTATGTTTCTTCTGTTATCACTGTATTTTGGTGGGGAAAAAAGACAAGTTTTCTATTCTAAATTGTGCAGATATTGGAAGCTAGCTTAACTAACATATGTAACTGAGTTCGTCATCTTGAAATGAGAATGTTATTTAAGTAGAGTGTTTA